ACATATATGGCAAGACTAAGTCTCATGTGAGCAGTAATTGTAACTTCAGTAACCAAAGACATACTTAAATATAATGAATTATTTCAAATTAACAAACCTTCTTCAGAAAAAGGGGATTATTTTTGATGGGGACAAATGCAAATTTAAGCCTGATCTAAGAAATCTGCTTAACTTAATTTAAATTTACGTATTTTTCTAAAAAAAGTTTAGACATTAACGAGTGTTAGTTATCCATAGGGTCTAGTTTAGCCTCAGAAAAATAAAAGACAATTCACTAAGACTTAGAGATCATTTAATTTGGGGATTTGTTACAACTTGATTGGTGCTTCCTTCTTTCCTCACTGTCTTCGCATCAAACCCATTGGGCCAATTCTATTTTCAGTAAATGTGTGATGGCTTTTTTACTTAATAACAGTCTCAGCATTTTTATTAAGCATGCAAGATTAACAAAACTTAGGCAATACATAAGTGTAACACAGTGACAGAGAGCTTTTACAATTAAATCTCCTAATACTGCCTTCACAGTGTGGAAATTGTGCTACATCTACTAAAAGAGGGCCCCATCTACTCAAATGTTTTAGTACTTCACCCCGCAAATAAACACCTTTGCATGTGGATTCAGATAGCTCTTGATCAGTAGCTCTTCTAGAGAAGAGCCGTCACTGATAATAAGGTCATTAAATTTGTCTTGGATTTGGTCCATAGTTTATGGGAGTTTTTGAACTTGAATAAACCAGTCATGTTCTTCCTCTTCTAGCATTTCTTGGAAACAGCTTTCAATAAATTCTTCCCATAACTCCACTTCTATTTGTTGAATTCCTCTTCATTTTCCATCTACATGTATCCTGCAAATGGATTGTCATGTTCATGAGCATGACTTAATAATCACATCTTCATTGATGATGCTTAGGCTAGTATTACTGTGACTTGGATCTTCCATGGTTGGCATTAGTTTTCACTTACAATCAAGTGCAGGGCAGTGGGGTCAGCAGCCAGCCAATCTGGTCTGCCTGCATGTATCTCCACAGGCAGTGCTGCTCCCCTGCTTGTTGTGTGCTTTGCGTGCCGTATCCCTTCTCCAGTCCCTATGCCTTTATATTTTTAACTTCTATGCTAGATAATAGTGACTTGTATACTTTTACATTATGATAGTATTCTTTATTTGCTCATGCATTTACGTTTACCAGCTAATTTTATAATTCCATATACGTTTGGCTTGCTGTTTAGTATCCTTTTGTTTTAACATGAAAAATTCCCTTTATCATCCTGCAAGGCAGATTTGGTGTTAGTAAACTCCCTCAACTTATATTTATTGAGAGTTTTTAACTCTCCTTTGGTTTTTTGAAGGATATTTTTGCAAGGCTTCGCTACTAAGAGTTTTTTTTTTTTTTTACATTTGTTAATAATTGGGGAAAATCAAAAGATGAATAATTATTTTTGTGACAGATGACAACTTATATGATATTCATATTCCCATGTCTATTCATATTCCCATGTCTGTATTTCAGTATAGCCAAACATTTATGTATTATTGGTGATTGCTTTTGTGCTACAGTGACAGAGTTAAGTAGTTGTGAAGATTTTATGTCTGAAAACCCTAAAATATTTACTGTCTGGCTCTTTACAGATAAAAAGTTTGCCAACTCCTAGAGTTATCAAATTTTGTAGCAATAGAGTTCAGCCTGATGATTTTGTGGTCAGTGTGTGAAGACTGAAGTAACATAAACTGTCTAAAATCCTTATGCTAGGTTGCCATTTATTCATTTCATTTGACAAGCATTTATTGAATATCTAACACAAGGAAGGAACTCCCTTATCCTTCAACTTTCTGCTGAGAAATATAATAAAATCTAAGAAGTCAGTTTACCATTTCCTCCTTCATTCCTTTCTACTTTCCCTTCCCAACTCTTCCCCCTTCCCTATTCTCTCAATTAGTTTCTAGGCACTTGAGAAGAAAACCAAGTTTAAATAAGGTTAACCTCAGAGTTTTATTCTTCAAAAAAATAGGTTAAAAAGAATTTTAGGGCCTCCTTGGTGGCGCAAGGGGTTGAGTTGCAGCACTATGAAGCTGTCCGCAGCCACTGCAGCAAGGCACAAGTTCTATCCCCGGCCAGGGAGCAAACCTACATGGGGCAGCAGACTACTACTGTCTCACCTGCTGCTTCCTTCAGCAGTGTATTTCAGTCAATCTGCCTGTTCTGTTCTCCACTCTGTCTCTGGTGAATCTTCTCACCACCCCTTGCACTTCTGGCCTGTACCCCAGCTCTTAAAGGAAAAAAAAATAGTTTTAATGTTTTAGGTTTTGTAATGATCAGATGGTAACATTCACACACTACTAATATTCTTAAAGAATCATATACATATAAATGGATAGCTGTAAACTTAGTTTAGTTTTCCAAAACTTCAGAAATGCAGACATAATTGACTCCCAAATCCATGAGGGGTTGGCAATTTACAAATTGTTCTTTAATCTTTTCTTATTAGGTAATTCTTCAGGTGTTTACAAATACCAATCTTAGCTTATAAAAGTAAACTATCATAAAAAATGCAGTCATATCTAGCAATTACCAAAGATGTTACTTAATAGGATTATTTTTAGTGAAGACTGAATTTTCCCTTAAAGGAAGAATGTAATTTTAGTGGAATAGGTTTCAATATTTTAAGCTTTCTTGCTTGGATCTTGGTTTTATTTACTCATTTACATGGCTGTAGTTTTGTCTGCTAAAATGATGGCTTTAGTGTTGACAATCATTTTATAAATATGTATTAAAGATCTGCACGGAGCAAAGCATTGTGTCTATGCCAGTGTCTAGCAGGGGTTAATATTTTTAATAATTACTGGATGAATAGTGCTGACCTAAATGAGGACATAGATCATTATGCTTTTGAAAGCCACAGAATCTTTAACTTAAAGGTTTTCCCAGATTTTCTTCTTTTTTAAAAGGTAAAATAAACATGACACACTAGTGTAAACTTTTTCATTTATCTGACTTTTCAAGTGGCTGGTATTTGTGAATATTATTCATGCTTGTTATCTTCAGTAATATATGGTTTATTGCTATATTTTTGGAGATAGGGTGTTATAAATTCAGGTTCTAGATTTATTGAAGAAATAAATTATAATAACTCAGTTATGATTTTTTAAATCCAATTAATAACAACAGCCTTTTCATTCCATTCCATAAAAACCATAGAATTTCAGTATTGGAAGGGACATCTAATCCAATCCATTAATTTTCAAAATCATGTTGCCCATCTCCACTTTTAAGAGAAAGATTTTTTTTTGCTATAAATCCTTATTCAGGGTTTTAAAAGTAGAAGTAATCCTAAATTACAAATGCATTGTGTTCCAGAAGTGTTTGTAAGTCTGTTGTTTTAAAACTCAGAACATCTTTCCATATAAACAGTATTTTAAATAGTGTCAGGATTAGCCCTGAAAAGGAGTTTAGCCCATTATGTGATTGATATTTTTTCCTCTGCAATGAATAATGTTTTAGATAATCAGTGCTGATTCACTCTGGGGAATGTGGAGGAGATGACATTGTAGAGGAGAATACTGGGGGCCCTTTTTTTTAATCTGTATTTCTTAGGCAGTGTAGTGCACATGTGTCCATTATATTGTGTTCTGAACTTTTTATATGTCTGAAATAGTTAATGAATTTAAAAATGCTATGAGCACTAGAAGTTTAATTTGAATATAAACACTTAAAATTGTTTCACCTTCAATCGTGATGTTTAAGGGAGAAAAATGGTTTGATTAGAGAAGGACTAAGAGATAGCTGGAAATTCTGAAGGGGTTCTATGCATACTTTCAAGGACTTAGATTTAATGAAATTTGTTTTTATTTTGACCAATGTCAATGCAGAATGTATGTTTTTGCTGTTAGGTTAAGATGTGTTGCCAACATTCATCTTTTCCTATTGGCCATATAGGTATAGTTCTGAGAGAGAGAAAAGAAGGTGGATAGTCATTTACTTGATATGACTGGGCACATTTTCAAAGGCAGAGAAGATTAACTTGTATATGCATGTGCAAGCAAGGGTAAGATCTTGCTGGAGGCTTAGGGAAAACATGAAAATGAGGGAGTGAAACTTGCATGAGGTTTGAGTATAGAGAAAGACAGTGAGGAAAACAGTTGAGTTAAGCACCAGAAGTCATCAGTGACAGTGGATGGCTGTCAGAGGTTAAATGGTACATGGAGTAGTGTAGTTAACTTGGGTTCAGCAAGACAGTATAGTCATTAATGTTTTTGAAATTTTTATAATTCAGGGATTGTCATATATTTACAAATAGGCATAAGTAGAAATCAACTGTTTTTCATTACATATTAGAAAACAACTGAATTTTCTTAATAGCTTGCTTAGCTTTGTTTATGGAGGTTGTTTATGATGATTGGATTTTTGTTATTTTGCAGTATACAAAATTTACTTTTATGTTCAGACTTTAGTTCATTTGTGCAGCTCAATTATAGCTTAAGGAAAACCTAAGTATTACCTGCCTTTTGGGACAGACGACTTAAAGAAGTGCATTTTTTCTTAGGAAAAGTGCATTTTAGAAGGATATGTGTCTGTCTTACTGATACCTATCTGTTATTACCATGGAGAGGTCTTTATTCTTCCTTTTTTAATTCCACTTTTGAAACATTCTGAGACAAAAATAGGCCCAAGGAGTCTTTCACTAAGACTAAAGAGGGAGCAGACACAAGGTACATAATTAAATATAGTAAAGGAAGTTAATAAAAGTAGTATTTGAAAAGAAACAAGTACAGAGAAACATAGAAAGAAATGGTATAAAGAGAAAATACAATTTGACACTTCTAATGAATAATATATTTGGACCATATGTTTTATATTATCATTTTAGGTATGTATTGAAAAGCATAACCATCTCTCTAACACTGGTTATGATTTTAGTTTTATGTATGTTTTTGGACAGTAAAGGATATCTTTGATTATTAATTGTCTACTCTGAAACTTCTTCCTCCTTTTTTTTCTCTTCAGCAGATCCCAGACACATTAAGGCATACCAGGTGGCAGAGACTAGGAAAAGGCAATTCGAAACAGATATTAGATGCTACAAGGGTAAGATTTTAAGCACACATTTCTTCTACGTGTATCTGGGAAAAGCATACAAGTCCTTAGAGTGTTTTCCAATTTATACTATACATAATTCCCACATACTTTTCATTTTTTTCTAAATACTGGCAAGATAAGAGGGATACTTCTGCAACTAGAAATGGAAAAAGAAATCTTGATATTTTTCTACCCTTAGAGAAATCCTTCTGAATCTCTTGAAATCAGTGTCAACTATAGTAACATTTTCAGAAAGCTTTTATAACTGTAATACCAGCCTGTTGACATCTAAATTTATTCTGGTATTCTGGTAATATGTATGTGATATATGATATGCTGTGAGTTTTTCAGGTGAGTAGTTTCTTTACTTTAGAAGATGTTCAGATGGCAAAATATCAAGGGACTCTAAGCTTTTTAGAGCCCCTGTGGTAAGCGATGATGAGTTTACCTGTTGATGAGGGTTACTTTTCATTGCTAATGTAAGTTAAGATACCTTTAAAAATTCTCAGTTCTTTGAAATGAAACAAGTAAACCTCCAAATTACAGAAAGAGTAGAAAATTAGAAGCTGGTCTAAATCTTCAGTACTTCTTTTACTTTTTAATTCTGATTAACAATTATTTGCCATTAAGGCACAGTATATCTTTGTAATTTATTCATAGGCTATAGAAATTAGATTTTTCACCATTAAAGTTGCGTTGTTTTTTTTCTTTTTTTTTTGTGGGACCCTCGCTGGGGGCCGGGGAACGAACCAGCGCTGCAGAGGCTGTGGGCAGCCTTGCAGCCCAGCACTCAACCGCTGCACCACCAGGGGAGGCCCTTCACCATTAAAGTTTTAAGTTAGGGGAGAATGTGCTCAATCTTCTCATTGTTCATGACCCCATTAAATTGTTGTTCAGTCTTTTACAGTTAAAAAAAAGTCACAGAAGAGAGATTGTCACAGTAAAATAATTACCTTTTGATGTCTTCCCTTTAAAAATGCTCTGTGGGGCCTCCCTGGTGGCACAAGGGGTTGGGACGCAACCTATGAAGCTGTCTGCAGCCACTGCAGCACAAGTTCAATCCTCGGCCGGCCAGGTAGCATCCCACATGGCGCAGCAGATCTTTCCTGACTTGCCTGCTGCTCCCCTCAGCAGTGTATTTCAGTCAATCTGCCCTTTCTTTTCCCCACTCTATCTCTGATGAATCCTCTCACCCCCTACACCTCTGGCCTGTACCCCAGCTCTTGTACACATAAATAAATAAATCTTAAAAAAAAAATAAAAATGCTTTGTGATTGTTGGTCCAAAAATCAACATCCCATTTATGGCAATTATGTTTTGTTTCAATTGGTGAGAACAAGAAGGCATTTTTTGCTCTTTGTAATTCTGTTTTCATAACTTGGCCCACAGTTGTTATTGTTATGATTTGGTATTGATACACATTTGTGTTTATAAAGGACTGAGACCTTGTTCATTACTTATTGATTATCATGGCTATAAGAAGTTTATTATATACATGTACTTCATTTTTTTTTAATTGAAGTGAGATCAACTTTTAGCATTATATAGGTTTACAGTGCTGGTATACAGCATTATATAGACTATAATATGTTCGCCACCAAAAGTCATGTTTCCATTCTTCACCAAACAATTGACAACTCCTGTTACCTACCACTCTTAATCCTTCCCTTCTAGCAATCACTATTTTGTTCTTATAGATTAAGAGATTGACATCATTTTATTTGTTCATTTGTTTTGTTTCTTTATCTTCTACATATGTGTTATATACTGCGGTGTTTTTTTCCTCTATCTGACTGATTTCACACATAGCATAATACCCTCAGATCCAGCCATCTTGCTGCAAATGGCAGGATTTCATCTTTTTTTTTACAGCTGAGTAATCCATTGTGTATATAGTCATACGTCACTTAATAACAGAGATACATTCTGAGAGAAATGCATTATAGGTAATTTCAGTTTTTGAATGACATAGAATAGTATTACACTAATCTAGATGGGGTAGCCTACTATATACCTAAGCTATATAATATAGCCTGTTTGGACCAGTATAATATATGTGGTCCATCACTGACCAAATGTTAACAACACAAGACTGAATACATCACATCTTCTTTAGTTATCTCTAAGGGGATGGTTAGTTCATATCCAAATCTTAACAGTTGTGAATAATGCTGCAATAAACATGGGGTGCATATATTTCATTGAATTCGTGTTCTTAAATTCTTCAGATAAACACCTATAAGTGGGGTAACTGTATCACATGGTATTTCTATTAGTTTTTTCCGGAATCTCCATACTGCTTTCCATAGTTGACTGGACCAGTTCATATTCCCACCAACAGTTTGCTAGGGTTCTTTTCACATCCTCACCAATACTTATTTTTCTTCATCTTTCATAAGTGTGATGTGATTATTTCATTGTTGTTTTGACTTGCATTGATGTAATGATAAAAGGTGATGAACATCTTTTCATGTGCCTGTTGACAATCTGAATGTCTTCTTTGGAGACCTGTTTATTCATATCCTCTGCCCATTTTTTTATTGGGTTGTGTGATTTTAGGTGTCAGTTTTATGAGTTCTTTATATATTTTGGATATTAACCTTTTGTTGGATATGATTCTCTCATTCAGTAGGTTGTCCTTTCATTTTGACAATAGTTTCTTAAGCTGTGCAAAAGTTTGATGTAGTCCCATTTGTTTCTTTGGCTTTTTTTCCCCCTTACCACTGTAGTTGAATCTCCAAAGACCTCTGTAGGGCTGATGTCAAGGAGCTTATTGCCTAGGTTTTCTTCTATATATTTTATTTTATGGGAATCTTTTTTTAAAGATTTATTTATTTATGCATACAGGAGCTGGGGTGTAAGCCAGAGGTGCGGGGGCAAGGGCAGGTGAGAGGATTCTCCAGAAACAAAGTGGGGAGCAGAACAGGCAGATCTACTGAAATATACTGCTGAGGGGAGCAGTGCGCAAGACAGGAGAGGCCTGCTGTGCCATGTCGGTTAGCTCCCAGGCTGGCCTGGAATTAAATTCATGCTGCAATGGCTGGTGATAGCTTGACAGTGAGTGCTGTGTCTTTAACCCTTGCACCACCAGGGAGGCTTTATGGGAATCTTACATTAAAGTCTTTAATATGCTTTGAATTATTTTTTGTGTACCATGTTAGCTAGCAGTGTAGTCCATTCTCCTACCTGCAGCTATCCATTTTTCCCAGTACCATTTATTGAGATTTTCCCACTCCATTGTATATGCTCTTAGCTTCTTGTCATATATATGGGTTTATATCTGGGCTCTCAGTTCTATTCCATTGATATGTGTCTCTTTTTATTCCAACAACATGTTGTTTTGATTACTGTCACTTTGTAGTATGTTTTCAATTGGGAGCTTGTGATGCCTCCATTTTTTTCTTTTTACTCAGAATTGTTTTTTGGGTCTTTTGTCATTACAAGTATATTTTGTGATTTTTTTCCCCCCTTCTATTTCTTTTTTTTTTTTTTTTTTTTGTGGGACCCTTGCCGGTGGCCGGGGAATGAACTGGCTGCTGGCAGCCTTGCAGCCCAGCGCTCACCGCTGCACCACCAGGGGAAGCCCTCCCCCTTCTATTTCTATGAGGAATTCTATTGGGATTTTGCTAGGTTACACTGAATCTGTATATTGCTTTATTTAATATGGTCATTTTAACAATGGCCAAATAAACCATAAAGAACAATTTGTTCTTCTATTCCATGAGCATAGAATATCTTTCTCTTTCTTTGTATATTTAATTTCTTTCAAAAATAGTATAATTTTTCTGTAAAGATCTTTCACCTCCTTCAATAAATTTATTTTTATGTATTTTAACAGAGGTGAAATGTCAATCTTTAATTAGATTCTTGCCAAAAACAGATTTTAAACAGGGTAACTCCAACCAATATTCTTGAAGTATTTTCAAAATCTAGCATATTTTTTTTTACATTTATAAGAAAAGCTTTTTTAAACAGCAGTTCATAACTTTTGTTTCTCTGATAGTGGAAAACTTGAAAGAGTAATGACGTGAAATATTTAGATGACTTTGAATTTTTTTAAAGAGCTGTGCTCTGTCATGCCAAGAACTTGATTCATTTATATAAATGAATTATTTGTGGACCTCAAAGCTTTTAAGACTTAGATGGTGTGCTACTGACATAATTTTTCTCTTTTAAAAATTGTATTGGGGGCCTTCCTGGTGGCATAAGGGGTTTAGACACAACCTATGAAGCTATCTGCAACCACTGCAGCAAGAGTTTGATCCCTGGCCAGGGAGCTGCCCACATGGTGCAGCAGACCTCTCCTGACTTGCCCGCTGCTCCTCTCAGCAGTGTATTTCAGTCACTCTGCCAGTTCTATTCCCCACTGTTTCTGGTGAATCCTCTCACCCTCCACACCTCTGGCCTCTAACCCAGTTCTTGTATGCAAAAATAAATAAATCTTTATAAAACTAAAAAAATAAAAATTGTATCTTATTTTTATTCAGGTAAATTGATTTACAGCACTGTGTATCATTTAGGGATATAGTTTTACACTGTACAATGTGACTCACATCACACTACCTGCCCCTCCGGTAGCCTCAATACTACTGTCAGATTTCTTAGGTTTATTTTTGTTTAGTGTTGTCTGTTCCTTTGTTTTATTTCCCTATATTCACCATATCAGTGAAGTATTTTTCTTTCTCCTTCTGACTTATTTCGCTTAGCACAATCCCCTCCAGTTCCATTCATGTTGTTGCAAATGGCAAGATTTCATTTTTTCGCATGGCTCAGTTATAGTCTAATGTGTAAACACAACATCTATTTTATTCACTAATCTGTTCTTGGGTACTTGATTATTTCCGTAAATTGGCTATTGCAAATAGTGTTGTAATGAACATAGGATCTTATCTGTCCCTTTGAATTATTCTTTTTTTATTCTTTGACTAAATATCTAGCTGTAGAATAACTGGATCATGTGGAGAATCTATGTTTAATATTTTGAGTAAACTCTGTACTATTTTCTGTAG